AAATTGGGGCATCGGGGGTTTTGGATGTCCCCGGGAGAGGTGGAAAATCCTGGGTATAATCAGTTCTGCGGAATCCAGGAGGAGTAGAAGTCTCCTTTTTTCCACCACTCCTTGATTTGGGCAAGCTGATTTGGGGTTCTTGATCTGCAACTTTCCGCGAACGGATGCGTTTTCGTTTCCGGGCAGAACCTTCCGGAAAACTGAAAGAAACTCCCTCCTCAGCCAAGTCAGAGCCAGACTCGTCATCTGACAAAAGAGCGAAGGGATTTGTTTCGTTGGTCGATGGCTTGGCTGTCTTAAGCATTTCTGCAAAAGACCGCCTGGAACGTTCTTTAAGAGAGCGCTCTAGTTTTTCCCCGCGTTGTTTGTACACCGGACACGACGAGAGACCATGAGGAGGAGATCCTTTGCAGTACACGCATTTTGGTGCCGTGACTGTGCAGGCGCCATCCTCGTGCTTCTCCCCGCATTTGGAACAGCGTGCCTTGCTGCCACAGTGGGACGCCGTATGTCCCAACTGCTTACAGTTTTGGCAGTTCATGACCCGGGGAACGAACAAGCGCACAGGTAGTCGAAGTTTTCCCAGCTCGATATACTGAGGAAGGGCTGAACCAGAAAAGGTCACGCGAAACGAGTCTGTGGGGGTAAAACTCTTTTTACCCTCGCTGACAGATACTGAGCCCAGTTTTTGAACATCCAGTATCTTCACCGGGGGGAGCAAGGGGTTCTTGAAACGGCCAACCGCCTGCTTCTCCAAGATCTCGGGGGTCAGACTCGCTTCGGTGACCACACCTTCGATCTCCACATCACGAGCTGGTATGTAAACCCTGTACTCAATCGTAAAGAGCTGGGAGGCAGCAATCTCGTTAGCCTGCTTCAGGTTAGAAACGACAACACGAAGTTTATTATGCCTAACCTTCGTGATTTCGGTCACGGCCGAGTATCGCTTCGTCAGATCAGTGGAAATTTGCATCAAGTTCAAAGGTTTGTTTTTGGGCTGAAAGGAGACAACCCATGGCCCAGTCGAGTCATCTGGATAGGCTCGCGATCGGGGGCTTTTCTGAGACGAACCATGAATGACAGGACGTTTTCGTCTTTTCTTGCCATCGAGTGGCAAACTGGTGTCATCTTCCGACAAAATGTCCATATCGTCTTCTGACGAGACGTCCATTTTGCCGTACTAGTGGGAGCGGTAAACGCTCTACCACTGAAACGATGCTTAAAACCACACAGACACAATAAACAGAAAAAAACTACAAACACAGAAACACAAAATTAAATTTAACTGATGGGCGAGAGAAAGAAACAGGAAAAAAAAACTTATCTGCTATACTACTACCACCGAGTGATTACACAGCAGCAGCGGAGCGACGCGCAGCGTGGGTGACCTTCGATGCGCGTGTGCGGGCGATCTTTGTAGTGGTGTGCTTGTATTAGGCTCGGCACTCAGCTGGACACACGATGATGGATGACCGGTATAAATGCGGAGGCAGATGCTGACACTCGATGACGATGATCTGTGTGCCGGTATGCGTGATCACACACCGATGGTGCGCAAAATGGTTGGCGAATTGGCAATCGCAAAAACAATTTTCCTTCCGATGATGCCGAAAACACACTTTCTTCTCAGAAAAAACTCACTTTCAGATAATTGTTTAGCCGGGTACTATGCCAGTAATCACTAAGCGAGAAAAAACTGATAATTTAAACCAACCGAATACCGAGAAAACTTCCGAAATACCGGAGCGCGAAACAAGTCGACTGTACTTCTTGCTAAGTCGCAGTGGGGTGAGCCGTAACCAGTTGACCGATTAAAACAAAATACTTAATAACGTTCTATTGGACCACAGTCATCTGTGCAGTGGGGAGAAGGGGTCACTTCGCAAGAGACTGTACGAAGCAGCGGAGGTGCATGCTCTGCAAAAAAGGAGGTCAGCACCTACCATATGACGGGATGCTTCAAATGCTCAGCATACAAAAAGGAAATGGCGGGCCAACAGTAACGGAGGTAGGTAACCCAAATAAACCTCAAATCATTGCGACACATCACAGCAAATGTTGTGGCAGTCGACAACGGAAACAAAGTGCAACGTTGCAATCATTGCAGAGCCGGTAGCTGGGTAATGGATAGAGCAGGGATCGCTACAATACAAGTTATGAGCAGATATCCCTTACAAGAAGTGGTTGCGAGCTCATATCGTATGAGTCATACGAAGGTTTCGGGATCGCCAAAATCAACGGAATCTTCGTATGCAGATGCCGTCCCTCATCTAACTCGGAGGATCTAAATTCACCTCACACTACCAATGGGCGGAAACTAAATCTGGAAGCAAGCGGTATATTGGAATTCAACAGGACATCGGAACAGAAGTAGGCCCATGAATTCAACAAAGAAATCAAGCAAATCGACAGACCCGACTAAAGGGTAAAGGCCGAAAATCTCCCTAATAAAGAACTAAAAAAGGGTACCATACACGAACACTTTTTTTTTTTTTTTTTTTTTTTTTTTTTTTTTTTTTTTTTTTTTTTTTTTTTTCTTTTTTTTGGTGTGTTAAGCAAGGTGGCAGAGTGACCATCTACCATTAAGGCTGTGAACCATTTGCTGAGTTAAAATTAACTCGTGGTTAAAAGTGACATTTCGAAAGTTATTTTCTATGTTCGAAAATCCCTGTGCTGTCGATCGACCGATTTTCGACCCACGGTTGTCAAAATTTAACTTCTTGTCTGTCAGAAATAACCTTGCTCGGATAGCAGGGTTCATTGAGAACTTTCCATCTGTCAAATTTTAACCAAAAGTTAAAAAAAATACGCCAAAATGGTTCAGAGCCTAAGGCTGTGAACCATTTGCCGAGTTAAAATTAACTCGTGGTTAAAAGTGACATTTCGAAAGTTATTTTCTATGTTCGAAAATCCCTGTGCTGTCGATCGACCGGTTTTCGAGCCACGGTTGTCAAAATTTAACTTCTTAATCAGATTCGGAATATGAGTGATGAGGAAACTTATTGTGTTCGCGAACCCTCCGTTTAGGCTGGATTTATTGATTTAAATCCTTAAGTTTATTTTCAACTCTTCGATGATGGAACATTTTTAAATTAATATTATAATGATTCACTTTTATCAGCCTTCGTTCAGGAAAATACAGAAACATTGTAATGCATGATTACAATTGCATGATAACTGTAAACTGTCCAAATAATCTTGATTTTTGTGACTATTGATTCTTTATTAAAGCTTACCAATATTTAAAAAAAAAAGCATTCCATATTGCGTTAAACCATTCCATGGTGCATAATAAAGAGTTGTTCAATTCCAATAAAATATCAAAAATAATAATAAAAAAATGTACCGCGGTTAACTTAAATTGAACTTATGTGTATTTTGTAATACTTGTTTATTTTACATTCATTATATTTTATATATTACATGACTAGTAAATTATTTTTATTTCACATATTTAAAATCTCATTATATCATTATAACTATAATTTTCATTTACAGAAAATAGTTGTCCTACAAATACTGATGGTGTATCAAATAGCAAATCATTGTTATTTACATTTTATTTTATTATTATATAATATGATCTATGGTTTTCAGAATTTGGACTACCCAGAGAATAAATTGAATATCATCATACATTAGGCCAATGTTTTTAATTTGTTTTACTTCTGCAGAATTTTGCTCTTTCAAGAATTATTCATTGATACTTTTTTTATAAATCTTGTATGCTCAAATATCCTTGACTATGTAGCAAATTGAGTCTTTATTTAAATTGTGGATTAATTAAATAGGTAAAGTTGAGTTCAATCATACCACGGCCAATGATTATAAATAACAAAACTTGTTTATTTTTTTTATATGTTGCATTTCACTACATATATTATATAAATTATACATTGCATGATGTACTATTACTATTAGCTTAATATTCCAGTTACCCAAGCAAGTCATCGAAATTAATATGAAGCTGATGAAGCAGAGGAAATAACAACATTAAATAAGATTATATTTTTCGTCTGTTAGTTATTAATCACAATTTTTAGCATTATTGTTAGTACCATTCGAGCAAAATATATTTAATTGCCTTATATACCCTATACATTTCAGTGCTGCATCCACCTGCCATTGTAAGCTGAAAAGGTATAGAGCTGCATCTTATTATATGTAAAATACTTCTTCATTGCAGTAGCAACTATATTATCCATATAAATGTATTTCATTATGTCATATTTTAATGTTCTGATATATTTCATTTCTCCATTGCATATATTTTCATTATATAAATAAATACTGGGTTGGGAGGGAGCATCAGGGTATCATTCAAACTGAAACTGGACGATGGTATGATTGACAGCTGGAGTCTAGGAGAGAATAAACACTATCATTTTCTTTATCCTACCGATTCGATTGTGGTGATGTGAATTCTACTCCAACAGTTTCAGGGCGATTGACGCGCCCTTCTTAACAAACCATCCAGTAGGAAGCTTAATAAGTATTGCGAATTGTGTTATTCGATTTGTTGGAGCGTATCGTTGGAAGGAGATTCTTAAATTCCCGTGGATTTCGCGTAAGTGTCTCTGCTTACGGGTCCACCCTTCCGTTTTTGGCCCTTCATACAGCGATATAGTGAATTCAGATCGGTAGCTCAAATTGATCTTGCTATTAAGTGGAGCTGCATCCAAGACAAGTCTTGAAAGGATGGTGGCTACCTTACATACATACATACATACAAAAAGGGTACCATACACGAACAATACCGCATAGAGTTGGGGTGATATCCCGAATAAGTGGTTAGGCACTTCTTCTTATGGTTATTTTTTTATGCGGGATGTCCTACACATTCCAACGCCTCTATCAAAACGAAATGGATTGGTGTATGGCAGCTGCAAATAGAACATGCTGTTATTTCGGACGGTCATCTAACAAATAATAGTCAATAAGCATTAAGGTATATGATTAGCAGTCTTGAATGCTATTATTTCGATAAGAAACAATGAAGTCATGCCTACGTTACAACAACAAAAGAATGGCAGCAAAATAAAATGTGCTAAAAATGTCAATTAATACAAGAACACATTGCATAAAAAAAAACCTATGAATTGGAATTAATCTAGGACCTACCACTCACCGAATGCTCTGCTTGAGCAAACTCGGTTTTTCTCGGGTGACGGATTTCTCCTTTTTACTAAGCAAAGGATCTGGCTGGAAACAGTTCCACAGTCTTAACGTTTCATCGGCACCCGCACTCATCACGGTGCTACCGTCGGGAGACATTGCGATCTGCAGCACTCGTCCAGTATGACCCATCAGATCGATTTGCTTGTTCATTGACGGATACTTCCATACTGTTAGCTGATTGTGGATGTAGCCATGTGCCGAAATCAGTTCTTTATAATTCTTGGAGAACAATAGTCCGCATACTTGAGACTTGGTGTCGACAGAGTTGAGCATTTGACCATTATTGACGTTCCAGAACTTGATACACCTGTCTGCGGTTCCACCTCCTGTGGCTAAAGTGTTTGTCTGCCAAGGACACCAGGCCAATGCACGAACCGCTGCTTGATGTTGGTTGAAAGAATGCAATGGATCTGTGGTTGTATGTGGAGCTCCGTTAGCTGAACTCCACACGTTGACCAAGTTATCGTTTCCTCCGCTGGCAAGATATTTACCATCAGTGGACCATTTCAGACCACAAACCTCTTGACTGTGTCCACGAAGCATGGCAACGTTGTGATTTCTAGTACGCACATCATGGTTTACGATGGCTCCATCTCTGCTTCCCGAGCATACGACAAATGAATTCCATGCCAGTACTCCTACACGACCGGAGTGGCCATCCATGATACGAAGCCGCTTCATCTGCTCACAATCCCATAATTCTACCGTACCCGTCGTTGTTCCAACGGCAAGAATGTGTCCCTCCTAAAAACGAAGGATTTTAGATTGAAACTAGCTAATTTTGTCAGTAATTACCTGAATCCAGCTTAACGAACAAGCATGATCCCCGCCTTCGTTCTCATATAGAACCTCAATGTTGCCACTGGCTGCGTTCCATAGATACACCGACGATCCAAGTGCAACTGCAACCACGTTATCACCACTCCAATCCATCAAATTCAAATAATAGTCATTGATAATATCCGGAGCGTCCAGAATGCGCTCCGGGGCGTTCGGTATAAAACGGGATCCACTCTTGGTGGACATGGGTGTCTTTACCGAGTAAACGACCTTCAGAGGGTTCATGTGTCCCTCTGGAGCTGCCGGGGCCTTCGTCTGGTACGATAAAATGCGCTTGTTACTGATATCACATCCTTTCACAGCCTCCGATAGAATCTTGATCCGCTCTGCATTCTTAGTAGGGCTTGTCTGGCCACCGCTCGGTTGGCTTTCCTCTCCACTTCCTTCACCGTCGTTTTCCGCCTTCGCCTCATTCTGTTTCACCATGTAATGACCCAAATCGAAATCCGTGGTCGTGCGGTTTGGGATGAATCGGTCACCACCTTGTTTCTGACTTGGTGTTTGTGCTTTTCCTTTGCCGGGTGTCTTGCTACCGGAACCTCCGGGTTTCTTATTCGGAGTCTTCCCGCTGAGCATTCCAGGTGGAACCGCCTGCTGGCTGTTGGTGAACGATGCGGACAATTTCTGACGAGACGTGTTCATCGAACTAGCATTGAAACTTGTTGAAGCAGCTGACAAGTCCAGCTTTTTCTGCCACCGAGGAGCAGGTCCTTTTGTGAGCTCGCCGTCCATTGTTATGAAGTTGTTCAGCTCGTTGATGTAGTTGAATTGCGACATTGCTCCGATGTTTTTGCTTAGTGTGGAGCATAGATAAATTAAAATAACAGGTAAATAATAGAAAGCAATAAAAGTTAAAAATGTACCTATAACACTACCAAACAAACAGATTATGCACCCGAAATTCTCTTGCCTTTTTGTTTTCTCTACTTTCGTATAGTTTCCCGCGAGGTAAAAAAGGCAACGGGAATTTTCAACGCTTTTTCTGATCTTCTTCTTTTGCAGTCGCGCGATGCATTCATTCCGATTTCAAATACTCAACTGTGGCTAATGCGTCCTTTTTGAGCAGTGTTTCCAGATATATCAAAACAATGGCGTACATGCGTCCGTGGAAAGTAGTTCATTCACTCTCTTTTCCCCGATATAAATTTTACTCAGTTTCGTAAAAAGTTGAGGGATCAAATTAATTCTAGAAAAAAAAAGAAGATGTTTTATGGTTACGATAAATACTAACACCTACATTCTATTATTAAAGTCTTATTTACATTGGATTTTATTGTATACATCCCAAATCAACAAATACTATACACGAACGATAACCCGAATGGTGAAACTTTTGAAAAAAATGGTTTGGATGATACCCCGAACACGCACTTTCAATGTTTATTTTCTATTAAGGCCTGCATAGAGATCAAAGCGAAGTGAAAATCTCATACAAAATACTACTTTTTTCACCAGCGCGAAAAACGGAACTCGCAAATATTTCACTTCGCTTGGAACTTTAAATAGATACTATAGTATCAATAAAAACACCATCAATGAACGATAACCCAAATGATTGCACTATTCAGCAAATGGTTAGGACGATACCCCGAAGCAAATTAACCTTAACATTTTTTTATCAGGAATGCGATTTTTTGGATTGCATCTTTTTCGCTTACGTTTTCTTTTTTCACGCATGCAGCTGCTCGTGAAAAGATTTTTTTTAATTCTTTATTATTCATCTCTTTCTCGTGACAAGAACAGCAGCTAAGCGAAAAGCTGAAGTTTCAAGAAAGAGCGTATCTGTCAGATTTTCACTTCACCGGAGGTGTAAACTGATCGATTTCATCGAACTGCGAAAAGAGGAAATAGGAAAATGATCCACAACAATTTTTTCGCAACCTTTTTCTTTATAGCGAAATTTTATGATTTTTCACTTCTTTCAAATTTCACTTCGTTTTGAACTGTACAAGGCTTTAGGGATAACAATAAGTGCTGTTGCCTTTTTTACAATAAAATGTATGTTTAATATCGGTGGATGTAATATTTTTCACGAAATCTATATACATCGTACAACATTTCCTGATGTGAGGTTTTGCCAAAATGAGGAAATCCTTTATTACTGAATGTTGAAAGAAGCCTCATCGGCCGTGTACTCTTTTTTATAGAATGCCACAGTTGATCCTCACAGTTGGTGTCATCAAATTTTCACTACCGGGCAGATTGCTCTTTGAACCAGGGTGGCCAGACCTACCGATTTATCGGTAGTCCTACCGATTTTCGGGATGCCTACCGATTCACAGGCAAAAGGTTAAAAAGTACCGATTTTTCACTTTTCCTACCGAGAATCACAGATTTTTAGTAATCTTGAAAAATAATCAATACCTATGTGTTGTTTTCCTTGTAGTCATAATAAGCATTAGAATTATACATATTGATTTCGACACATTTAAAGCAGTAGAACTGAAGGACAGTCCCCCCCCCCCCCCCCCGCCCCCGCTCACAAAGGTTTCAAGTATCGGGAAAGCCTTCTTCAGACGGCCTACCGATAACTACCGATAAAAGTTTTGAGAAGCTACCGATAATGAAAAAAATAATCTGGCCACCCTGCTTTGAACGATGTACCTGTCAAATTTACATTTTGTGTCCGTAAACAAGTCGATGTTGTGTGAATTTTAATTTGATTAAAATCTTGCAGTTTTATTGAAATCTCTTGGTTATGACTGAACAGCTAAACATCGACAGCTATTGCCGCGTCTGCATGGTCCAAAATCCAGACGAATTGATATCGTTGTTCCAAATACACGATAGCGAAGACGATGTGATTGCAAACATGATTATTGACTGTACGGAGGTGATGGTAGGGTGGTCGTCTAATGTAAATTTTAAGACAAAACTATTTAAAAAAAAATGTTTTCAGGTCTCCGACGACGACAATTTACCTCAACATATTTGCAGAGATTGTCTGATCCGGCTGAACCATGCCTACAAACTACGTAAGCAATGTCAACGGTCAGATGAAGCATTCCGGGCCATGTTATTACGAGTTGACCAGCAATCTTTTAAATCTGAAATGGAGGTATACGATCCTTCGCCAAAACTCTTTCTTGCATCTTTGAATGAACAACACTTCCAGCTATTGAATACACAAAAAGATTACAGGCTCGTCAAGATTACAGGACTTCGGTGCTGTGGCTGTAACCGTATTTTTGGGAATAGTGACGAACTCAAAAACCATTCCATAATGTTCCATACACTTTCGGCAAAATGTGACCTGAACACGCATGAGTGTACTGTGTGTGGATTTGGGTTCGGCAGTAGAAAGGAACTGACCGATCATGAAATGGACTTGCAGGATCTGTACTATGTTTGCAATCAATGTGAGCTAATGTTGAATACTGAGGATGATTTGGTGCAACATCTAAAGGATATTCATGAGGTCGAGGAGTTGTCCCAATCATCTGAAAAGAATGTCATCCCTTCTGAAGACTCCCAATGTGATCTTAAGTTGGAAGAAGAACTCATGGAGGAAGGACAGGAGATTGAATATCTTGACGAAGATGAAGACTATCACGAGTATGTCGACTTAACCATGAAGATTAAAACGGAATCTGCTAATGAAGATAGTCCTGAAACGAAGAAGCAGCTATTACGTACTCTTCCGGGATCGGAGTTTGTAAGCAGAACGGAGGAATTTTCCAAATATAGTATATACCATCTACGTGGAGAACGTTGCTGTGGCTGCCTTAGGCTATTTGTAGACATCGAATCGTTGCTAATACACTGCGATCACGAACATGGAAACCGACAAAAGATAAAAGTGGCAAAGTATCAGTGTGATGTGTGTTTTCAGCGATTCGGAAGTAGTCTGCTTTTAAGCAAACACAAACAAGTTGCCAAAGGCAAAACTATGTACCACTGCAAACTTTGCGACGCAGTGCTAGAAGATGAACGAAGTTTCATAAAGCACATAATCTTCACGGACAATCACGAAGAAGTTATTGACGCAGTGAAAATTGAAGGAAAATATGAGGAAATTCGTATTGAGGGCTCAAAATGCTGTGGATGTGATGTCATGTGTGATAATGAAAAGGAAATGCAGAAGCACATTGAAGAACTACACCTTCCAGGTTCAGTGGAAGACGATCGAGAATTCAAATGTAATAGGTGTTTCAAGGGATTCCATCGAATGAATCACCTTGCGCGTCATGAATCGGATGCGCAAAAGAAGCTATCGTATCGTTGTTTTACCGAAAGATGCAATTACACAACGATCCACAAGAGACAGATACTGAAACATATAACTACGAAGTACACTCATCGAAATCTACCTCGAAAAACGGCAAAAACTCATAGAACAGATGATCTTAGTGGCGAATACTGCCGCTATAGTTGTTGCTTCGCGCGTTGCTATGAAGTTTTTGATTCGTACGAAGAGCTTGAAGATCATGCAGAATCAGTTCACGAGATGCTACGCATTCAACACACACAGGATCGAGAATCTACCCAAGCTGTTTGCATGATATGCTTGAAGGGATTCGAAAATGAACAGGCTTGCGAGAAACATCGGTCAACTGATAGAAACCAGAAATATGTGTGCCTGAAGTGTGGAGTACAATATGTTTCGAAATCAACATTGTTGCAACATGAGCGCAGCAAATGTGGTAAGGTTGCACAGTACCAATGCACTCAGTGCGACAAAACATTTGTGTCGCTAGGGGGACTCCGCAATCACCAAGAAGTACATAGCCAGAAGCGGTCGCACGTTTGTGATACCTGTGGTAGAGGATTTCTGAGGAAAGGAATTCTAAAGGACCACATAAACACAGTCCATTCCAAGGTCAGGCTATTTCAGTGCTCTCTTTGTCCAAAATCCTTCACCAGCCGGAACGTTTTCCAGTCGCACCAAATGACTCACACCAAGGAGAAACCATACCAATGTAGACATTGTGAGAAGCGGTACTACAAGACCAGTGATAGAACCATGCACGAGAATCAGGTACATTTGGGAATCAGACCGTTCCAGTGCAATTTCTGTACGGCATCATTTATACGGGATCGTGAGCGTAGACTTCATGAGCGGACGCACACAAAGACAAAGCTTTACAACTGTGACATGTGCTCAGAAGGATACAACAAGTTTGCAGAGTACAAGTCGCATCGCTTGAAGGAACACGGTTTGGAAACCCTTCGTGATTTAGGACCAGCGATAATGGCCGCAGTGCGTGGTGAGCAAAGGCAGGAATTCCCTGGAAAACCGCATTGTAAACTGGAGATTGAAGTTTGTGATATGGTGGAATAATTGCACATTAATAAATTGAGTGTTACGCTTGTACTAGTAAATAAAATATATCCCCTGGTTGAATTGTTTTCCATATTCCTTTTCTTATCACTATTTTTTCGATTTGATTTGAAAATATGCAGATGTGTGAGAAGGCTTAATAAGTCATTTCCGTCTGTTAAATCTTCAAAATACCGGCTTTAAATGTATAAAAAAAAAGTTTTCACGTAAGTGTAGAACTGCAACTCTTGACTATTGTGAACAAGTTCTTAAAATTAAGCTTGCAAATTCTCATTACAGCTAAAATTCTAGTTTTCAAAACTATGACATATTATAATAATAATTTGTTTATGTAAGATGCAAGAAGAGCAGGTAAAGTTTGTAAAACCTGTCAATTTTACATAGTTGAAGATGCTAATTTCAAATAACAGACTAAAGTGGTAATTTTTATACGATAGATGAGGAGATGAAAGTATAGAATTGATAGGTCCGTTAGAGTACGGCAGTGTGAAAATTGCATATAGAAAGTAGAAAGTGAGCAAGGACAACTTTAGGAAGGTACAAATCGGTTTGAACATCTCTCTTTACCAAACTCCCCCGTTGGAGAGGGATGGTGAGGGGTATTCCCCCCGCCACCACTGGTAAGCTTGGTCACAATTAGCGATTTTTGATGTAATGAGCAATCGCGATGAGTAAGCGCTCACCGTAATCAGGAAATTGACAGGTTTTATGTGTCATACAAACTTTACCTCTTCTTCTTAAATCTTACAAATCAAGACCAACAATTGAAATGGTCTTAACTCCATTTTGTAAACAAACCTTGTAAGGCCATTTTTTCGCGAACCGAAACCTTCATTCGCAAACCTAAGCCATAATCGGGTAGAGGAGAATTTCCCCTACCTGTTCATTATGTTGGTTTGCCTTTTGCGAGAAAATGGCCTTACAACACTCAAAAAAGAAATCACATTTCCGATGGAAAATATCCATTAGAATTTCACATAACTTTCATATGATCTCATAATTGGGAATAGCACCACGAAATCCCATGAACCTTATGTGTCCAATGAAGTTTATGTGATTTATCACATAGAATTCATGTGATCATGTGAATGTTATGTGAATTTCAGATAAAAATAATTAATTTTGTTATTGGAAAAATATCATGTCCGTTCCCAATGGAAATTGTATGAAAACTTTTTTCAGTGAAGGTTTGTTTACAAATGCCATTTCAATTGTTGGTATTGAAATAAAAAAAATCGTTATAATATCTCATAGTTTCATAATTCCGAATAATAATATTTTAGCTGTATACGTCATGGCGGAGAAAGGTAAATCAGACCATTCAGGCATAACATTTGATACCGGACAAATGCATTTGTAACAAACTTTCTAAGGCCCTTTACACGCGAACCAAAGTACGCCCACGCAAACCAATACCACGTTCGAAAAGGTGATAGTTGCCCCTATCCGATGATGTTGTTGGTTTGCGTGGGCGTACTTTGGTTCGCGTGTAAAGGGCCTTAGCAAGTTTGTTTACAAATGCTTTTGTGCCGTAGTCAAATGTTATGCCTGAATTTTCGTAGTTAGCACAGTTACTGTTTTTTTTTTTTTTTTTTTTTTTTTTTTTCTTTATTAGAGAGATTTTTAGTCTAAGGCTAGTTCATCTCTTACAGTTACTGTTCAATAGATGTTAATAATTGACCTAGCTGTTACCATGGAATTTATCTCTGTGTATATCAACTGTGGTAAAAACTGTCAAAGATCTCGAAATTAAATTTTGTTTTGCTCAGTCGTCCGTCAGTCGGTGAGTAGAAATTCTGTGCTAATATTTACAGCACAACATATTTCGTTCAATGGCCAACGGTGATTTAGGTATCCGATGTCGGGTGTGCAATGGCCCGCCGGAAGTGTTCCTCTTTGCGTCTTACAACGGATCAAATCTCGCCAAGCTGATGGCGGACTTTGCCAGTGTTTTGGTAGGTCGCATTTCGAACAGGGATGACCCGATTTTACCAACGATGTTTTTTTTCAGATTAAGGAAAATGATGGAAAGTCAGCAAGTATTTGTATCGTTTGTGAAGAGAAACTCAAATCAAGCTTGGAGTTTCGGAGACACGTACAAGAGGCTGAGAGAAGGCTGGAGTTGTGTCCGGAGTAAATATTTAATCAGCAGAGGGTCTATTATCACCGTCACTTCATGTGACTGGAGCGATTATCACCCTCACTTTGTGCGGAAAGTAACGTGACGGAGCGATTATGGGCGACAAATTTGTGTCACTGTAACGGTGACGGTGATAATAAACCGCCAGTTTTAGTATGTATGGATAAACATTTTGTTTTTATCTTTCGATAGGAATACCACTGCTAAGACAATCAAACTAGAAGCTCTACCCGATGAAGAGGAATTATACGAATATGAATTTTTAGATGAATATCCCGATGAAACTAGTAAAAATGATCACGACTACGGCGGAGACAACGATGCCCCTCCGGTCCCTCAAATGGATAATGAGGAGTTATTGAAAGTTTTGGAAGCTTCCGACAATGAAGATAGAAATGTTGACTTTTGCATAGAATCTGAGATGGAAGGTGAAAAAATAGTAGAGGATGAAGACGTTAAATTTCCCTTTGAAAAGCCTTCCGAGGAAAGAATCGCTCAGCGGTTAACATTCGAAGATTTCGAATATCTAGAAATCGATGGTGATCGCTGCTGTGGATGTAGCTTTATTGCTGCAAATCGAGACGAATTGATGCAGCATTCAAAACATAATCACTCACAAAACTATTATGCTGATAGTGGGTACACTTGCCCAACGTGCTACCAGAAATTTCAAACCCAAGATAGATTGGCTAATCATATTGATTATTACTCTTATAGTGATGTATTTCTGTGCACGATTTGTAACGAATCATTTGTGCATAAAAGCCATCTAAAAACTCATCAGGACTCTAGTCATATGCTTCAATCCCAAGCAGTAGCTACTAATCAAAAATCAAAAGTGAAACGCCGCTCGAAACACGCTAACCGTACAATACGACCGCAAATGCGAACCGGTGAAACAATTCCAAAGTATGTCTGTTGTTTTGTTCGTTGTTGGGATGGTTTCAATACTGAAGACGAACTTTTAGCCCATGTGAAGCAGGTTCATGATGGTAAACGCAGGGAGAATGACCTGGCCTGCTTGAAACAGAATACGACAGCAACAAAGCACGTTTGTTCCGTGTGTCATCGGCCATTTGAATCCGAAAGTAAATTGCTTTTCCATCACTCTTACAAACAAAAGCGTGACGAATATATTTGCCTAGAATGTGGTAAAAGTTTTCACAAACCAAGTCTTCTACGAGATCACGAGGAAAAGGATCATAGTTCATTATCGCCGAAGTACGGATGCGATATTTGTGGGAAATATTTCTGGAAGCAATCAGTGCTTAAAACACATCGCAAAATTCATGTTCCATTTGAGAACGTGCCCTGCAGCGAACCTGGTTGTGAGCTAGTATTCAGAGACACAGCATTAATGAAACGCCACTGCCGAAATGTGCACGGGGAAATGCCCTGGCAGTGTCGATTTTGCCCGAAAAAGCTGCGAACCAAGGAAGCCATAGATATCCACGAACGAACTCATACGGGAGAAAGGCCCTTCCCTTGCCGGCATGGCTGCGATCGTAGGTTTGCCCACGCGACAGATCGAGTGAGACACGAACGGTCAGTGCACACTAGCGAAAAGCCACACAAATGCGGTCAATGCAATGCGGCGTACGTTCGGAAGCGAGAACTTGTGCTGCATGTAAAAAGATGTCACAGGAGCAATGAAAAGTAAAAGGTGAGTGAATAAATGTTGTCTAGAAAAATGTTTTGTATGCATTAAATTTGGATGACTTCCTTTGGGTGATCTAACTTCAAGACTTTGGTTGTTGCTGGGCCCTAATCAAGGTTATTTAAAAACAGATTATTACGAATTGGGCTGTCAGGTAGCAATTTATGTGAGTGTAGCAGTGGTTATCATAATATCGAGCATGTTGTTTGGTCATGTACCCTACACCGTGATGCCAGATCTGAGTTATCCACATCCCTCAGGGCCCGAGGAAAACAACGCGATGTCTTTACTAGACGAGATTTCGACTACTTGAATTTAATTTATGTGTTTTTAAAACGGATAGATCTGAGGATTTAGTAGTTAGTGTCATCTTGTGTTCTCCCAAGTTGTTAGCTGCCCATCAGATTTATTGCCATATTCATACTCGAATCGATTGAAAAATACTCTTAATCTTCTAGTTTACTCGAAATCTATCTATTGAAAGCAATATTTTGATAATTGTGTATGTTTTGAGAGATGGTGCACAGGTAGATTGAGGTTAAGGCGACGCCACTGCTAAACAATGAATAACGGCTCCGGAAAGCTACAGCAAATGAGCCTGGAAAAATAAAAGCATTATAAAAAAAGATTATTGCTTAAAAGATTTATTCAACTTTCTAATATCAAGGTCACACTTCTCCCGTGTAAAACTCGCTCGGATCGTCCACAACTTCCGATGTCAACATAATCTCATCTTCCACGTGCCGTTCCATATGCTTCTTGAGGGTTGCATTTTGGCAGAATCCTTTGTCACATATCGTACAGCAGTACGGTCGTTCACCGGAATGAGTTCGTTCGTGTATCGTGAGGGTTCGTTTTCTGGTGAATGCTGCTTCACAGCTATTGCACTTATGTGGTTTCTCTCCGGTGTGAGACATCTCGTGTCGTTTCCGGTCCGATATGTGGTAATAGCTGTTGTTACAGAAAGAACACTTGTATGGTTTTTCTCCGGAATGTATCCTAGCGTGGATACGCAAATGTTGGGACACTTTGAAACGGGCTGGGCAAACCTCACAACTGAAAGGTTTTTCCTCAGAATGACAGGAGCGTACGTGTTCCTCCATATTCCGTTTCCGGCTGAAGCTTTTCTCGCAAAAAGAACATGGAAACGGTCGATCAGCGGAATGACATACCAAGTGATTCTTAAGATGCATTTCACTGTAGAATCGTTTGTCGCAGTGGCTGCATTTGAAAGGTCGCTCTCCGCTGTGTTTTGAGCGCTCGTGTATGGTTAGTAGACTGCGACTAACTGTTCGAAACGAGCAATGAATGCATGAAAAATGTTTTCCATCGACATTGTTGGCACGAACGAATTGATGCACTTTCAAATTTTTCATTGATCCAAACGATCGAAAGCATATGTTGCACACAAAAGGTTTATTAGTAACATCGTTCCGTTCTTGATTGTACTTTAGTTTGAGTATATGTTTCTCTTGAGCGTGGGCAAGCAGTTGTTGTTCATCTGGGAAAACATCATGACAATGCGTAACACAGCAGTAGCGTTCCTTCGGATGGGCATCTAATTTTACTTTATGTTCTGGCACTTTCTTTACATGAGTTGTCGTAGAGTCAACCATTTCGTGGTGTTCTTCCAATTTTATTGTATGTGCCTGTTGGTAATGCTGTACCACATGCTCGGCGGTTTCATAAATATTTTCACAGTTGTTACACTGGAATAATTCCTCGAAGCTTTTTCCCTGATGAGCTTCTAACTCGTCCAAGCTTGCAAATGCCCTCGCACATATGAAGCACGTTTCATGTGTATCAAATGGGGTTGTGTCACCAGGAAATGTGATTTCATGTACCAGTTCGACGTGATCTCGATGGTCCTCTTTGCTATATAAGATTGCAGAACATAAGCAACAGCGAAAGCTCATCATTTCTACTGTGCTGTAATAATCAACTACCAGTTCATCATCGGCCTGGCTTTCAGCGAGAACTTGACTACTTGTTTCGTCTTGATGTTCCAATACTTCTACGAGAATCGGCTTCTGTTCAGGTTGTTCGTTCTCATCGACCGGAACTGTCTCGGTTTGCTTGTCCTCGACCATTTGAAGGAAACTTTGCTCGGAATTGACGCATTTGCGTCGGAAGTTAATGGTCATAATAAGCTCGTTCAAGCATGACAAACATATCTCCTTAGGCAGCTGATCGTCATATGTTATCTGAAAAAAAAAATGCAAGAACGTTTACGCAAAGTCCCAGTTGAAACAAAATAGCCATGTAGAATAATTATTAAAGATTTTTCAAATAATCATACCGCCTAAAATAGTTCTTGTTCACCTAAAAAAGTTTGCCATAAAAAGCAACCATCTACCTACTCGAGCTGTCAAATTAAGAAAGCATCTAGAAGAATTAGAAATTAACCCCACCTGGCGAATGAATTCTGAATTAACTGATCTTTTTTTCATTGTACGCATCTAAATATATCTACTCCCGCGCTATTTTTTTTTTGCAGAAAATCTACAAATTTTTTATTAATCTTCTTGCTATCACTCATCATACGCGCATTTTACGGCAAAATCAATGGCTCATTTTATCCCCCTGAATTTAAATAAAACTATCTGCTGCTTTCGCATCACTTACCACAGTGACTCCTGATCTAAAAATAACCCAACCCATACACAACTATCCTTCATGCAGCAATTATGGAGAAGCAGAGATACACTTGTTATCTAGTAACAACGATTGTCAAATTAGTCATCCTTCCCCTCCCCAAAAACCGTGAAGCGCACCCAACACGACAGAAGTTTCATCAATATCTTCAACAAGTATATACCTCTCCGTGAAAAAAAAAAATGAAATCATCTCTTTCATAGTGTTCTTATATTCTACGCGAGGGCTAACTTTGATTTGTCAATATAGGGAAAATGACTCTAATGTAGCCCCTATGGATCTAGAGATTTTTTTTAAACAATCCGTCATCTGGACAAAACAAATGGCTATTTTTGGTTACTAGGAAAAATGGCTTTTCAATTAAATTTATGCATGGCCCAATATTATGGACATTGACCCTACAATTATTGTATTATTATTTTCGGGCGTAACGATTGTAATGAGAACGACAGCACCCACGATAGTGCGATAAGCTAGTCTGTACCGTTATCTGTGCACTTACCTCTAAACAACAGTACTTCGTCAACAGGGTCGCGATTGTATCTCCCATTTCCGTCTCGTTGAATACCGATACCGACGAGCATTCAATCCCCACGGTTGCCAGGCACGTTCTGCAAAGTCCTTCCATCGTTTGCACATTAATTGAGGCTCGATATTTTGATAATTTTTAAATAAAATATAAGCGCGAACAATGGAAAACTTCTAAATTAATGTAAATAAAAAATAATAGGTACCACAGTTGATTTAATTACGCGATTGACAAAGGGGTCGGACAACTGGAGGACGCACGACCCTACTGTAAAATCTCGGGTGACACCATCTTAAGTTACGCGTTTTGTTTATTTGGGTGAACGATTGCAAGCTGAGTACATTTTTCCACACGGTTCGCTGTTTTGATATTGAAGCGCGCTTCCGATTTGGTTTGAAAATGGAACGATATTGCCGGATTTGTATGCGGAACGACCTGGACCAGGATGAGATGGTTTCGTTATTTTGTGAGCGAAAAGGTGAAGTCGTTGCCAATATGATCATAGATTGCGCTGATGTGATGGTACGTCCGCGGAGATTGTTTGGGTTTGAAGTATTATTCACGGATGTGCCATTCTAGGTTTCGCACGACGACAACCTGCCCGATTATGTGTGTCCAGATTGTCTCGAACGATTGGTGGATGCATTTACTTTACGAAAACTGATCCGCGAGTCGGAGGGTGCTCTGCAATCGTTAGCTATTCAAATGAAGGCAGAAAACGCTGGAGAAATCCCGGAAGATCCTTTGCAAATGGAAAGGGTGCAAATCATCAGTGAGCAATCGATTGCGAAAGGGTCTGCTGCCAGTGTGGGTAAAAGTACAACATATCCCACAACAGATCAGATTGAAAGCGTCGAGACATTTGAAACTTATAAAGTGATTCGACTACGTGGGGTTCGGTGCTGCGGTTGTCAGGAGATTCTGTCATCGAAAAATGATTTGGTCGAGCACAGCCATCAGGAACACTCACATCGTGCGGCTTCCAACAGTAGGGATCAGGTATGTCGCTACATCTGGAATAAATAAGAATTATATGAGTGATCCAATAAGGTATTTTCTAGGCGGTGTTTCAATGTCCAACATGCTTTGAACGGTTCCAGAACAGAATGAAGCTGTTGAACCACACAAAGAATTACGAATCGAATGAAATCTATCATTGCACCGTGTGTGATATTTTATTCGATATAAAATACCGTCTGTTACAACATCAGAACCTAAGCAAAGCACATCAAGTTGTCGCGGTCGATGGAACGTTCACTGATCACCCGGATGAAGGCAGCTCTAAGATAGTGCCGAAGGAAAAGAAACGCAATCAGTCGAGGAAACGCGTAGGTAAGGAACTCACCTATCCCGATGCCGAATTCATTCTTTGCATCGACGAAACACAAGAATACCAGGTAATCCATTTGGGAGGAGAACGCTGCTGTGGATGCGATATGATGTTCCATAGCTACCAGGATTTGATAGACCATTGCAGTGAAATACATCCGCGAAAAGATGGCGAAGATGCTACCTATGAGTGCATTCTATGCTTCGAAAAGTTTGATCAAGTACAATCATACAATCGTCACAGATCAGCTCGAGTACAGAGAGAGATCTACTACTGCAAATTTTGTGATGTGGTGATCGACATAAAGTTCCGATTTGACCAACACTTGAAAACTAGCGTCGCTCATCAAGCTGCTGTTGAGAAAGCTGGTATAACATCAATCTTTCCCAAGGAAGAAAAACCGGTTAACGAACTTCGAACGTTGGAAAATCATATTGAAGTCTTGGAGATAGATGGCATACGTTGCTGTGGTTGTGAGTTTGTGTGCAACAGCAGACAAGAACTAGAGGATCATTCAGAAGAGAGACATGGGTTCGAAAAAGATAAATCGAACAACAGTAAGGACTTTGAATGCGATATCTGTTTCAAATGTTTCTCAAACCTTGGCCTGTTTACATGTCATAGGAATCTTGCTCTGCAAAGAACAGTCTACAGATGTAAATACTGCGATATGCAGTCCGAAATTAAATATCGGATTCTGCAACATGTGGCGGGAAGTGCTCATCAAATTGAAGACCAAAAGGAACCCATCTCTGAAGCTGAGCCAAAGATCTACAATTGCTGTTTTGTAAAGTGTGCGATCACGTTTGAAGATCCGAATGATCTGTTGGATCACGTGGAAGAGCACCATGCTTCAAAGCGACGTGAGAATGCTCAGGAACGAGAATCAAATGCCTTTATATGCTATGTGTGTCACAAAAGTTTTAAAAATGAGCGTTCATTGCAAAGCCACCAGTTTCCTAAGAAGACCGAAACTCAGAACGTATGTTCGACATGTGGTGCAAGCTTCCTTTATTTGTCGGCATTAATCAATCACGAAAAGATGCACACCGGAATAAAAGAATACCAGTGTGATATATGCGACAAGGCGTTTTTCGACGAGCGGGCCTTACGGGTGCACAAAGTGTGCCACAATGAAGAGCGACCGTATGTGTGCGATGTTTGTTCAAAATCGTTTCTTCGGAAGGGTAATTTGAGAGTAAGTGATATGCTGCCTGAATCAAAATGGAGTTCTTTATTTACGAACTTTCTGTTTACAGGTCCACAAGCGTTGCCACTCGGAAAGCATATGGGACTGTCCGCATTGTTCAGGGAAATATAAAACGAAACAGTCTCTAACGCTTCACATCCGAAGTCATACAGGGGAGAAACCGTTCGAGTGTCGATACTGTACTAATCGATATAGCCACTCGACTGACCGGAACCGACATGAAATGGCCGCACATACCAAGGTGCGTCCGCACAAGTGTCCTCACTGTGATATGACGTTTATCCGGAAGCGACAACTTACGCTGCACGAACGCATCCACACGGGAGAACGGCCCTACACGTGTCACATTTGTGACCGGACGTTCGTTCAGTCAACTTACCTGAAGAAGCATTTGGCAACCCACGAGAAGCATGGGACACACATAAAGGAAACGGAATACATGATCAAAGTCTTACCGGAGGAGAGCGAGACGAACTATGAAGTTGTGGAGATGCTCGAGGACGAAGCGGATTTCGAAGACGAGCAAAACTATGATGAGGAAGATAATATGTAACACTTGTTATGAGATTGGTTACTTTCGATACCTACTACATGCGTTACTTTTATTGAACATTTCACAAGCCTTTGGTATCACTACCACCTGAAAAAAAAATCTGCCTGGATTTCGAATTTTGCACCGTTACAATTTTACAGCGCAACAGGCTTTGTGCTGTAGCTTATGATTGAACGCATCGGAACAATATGATGTTTTTTGCTTTATTAGAGAGACTTTCACCCTTGGGCTGGTTCCTCTCTTAAAAACGAGGAGTGGAGACTTCAGATGGGAGTTCTCATGAGTATCGGTCTTTCTATCCTGGCGACAACACAAGGGATAGGCGAAAATAATATCCAAAAAGAGGATCCTTTTCATATATTTACAAATTTTCTGCTACGGTGGAAGTACAAAAATCTACTTTTTCCCTTGCCATCTCCTTCTATCCCTATGTTATGCATCTGAAACTAGTGAAACAGTCTTAAAAATTGAGCCTACTAGTGGTATGCTGTACGATCGAGCATGATGCGTTAACAGATAGGCACCCAGTTTAAGTGCTGATGGGCAAATAATTTGCCTACCAGGGTGAGAACTGAGAAATGACTGACAAGAATGGCCGGATTTTAGCTCAAAATGTGAATAATTGACCATAACAGATAATTTTGCAAAGTTGAAAATTGGAGAATGTCGAGTCTGAAATTCAATTTTCAAACAATAGCACCTTGTCATCAGCAACAGCATATTAAAGAATCAAAGTGACGATTGACTCACAGATGGCAATAAGTCGGTGAAAGGTCATTGACGAATTTAAGCAAAGATAAAACCATAGAGAACATACGTCCAAGCTCGGTCAGAAACTTGTGTAAAGTTAAGTGGGAACGTCGCCGTTACGCAGCGCTAGCATCTCCTGATGTCCTCTATAAATTTATCACTTTCGACCAATTTGGCGCTAGTATCGATAAATTATCTGTTGAAAATTGCCACTTGGCACTACCGGCACTTAGTGTCTAGTGTAAGTTTTGCAACGCCAGCGCCATCATGTTGTCAAAGAGGGTTTTCAAGTGGGGAAGTCGCCGTTAGTGGCGCTTAAGTCGAATAGGAATCTTTACACAAGTTTTTAGAGAAATTTTGTTCGAGCCTCAACGTCTGTTCTCTGTGGCAAAACTTCATTATCATTTTTCACATCTGCTGGTCGACCGTCACTTAAATTCATCAATGACGTTTTGATATCTGTCAAATTGCATGACATTTTTTAGTACATTAATTTTTGTAATTGCGGATCTTAAAACTAGGTTTCGCATGACCAGTTTTGGCTTTGGTTTGATTCACCAATTAATCATGTTTTGTTGTTTTTGACATCATCCACATCCAGAGGGCCAGTCACTTTCTAATGTATGGGAATGGTAGGAAACCATTTGGAAATGTATGAAAATTTTCAGTTTTTATTCATTATCGTCATTATGGGCAGTTTTAGATGCACAAAAGTTGCACGAGTATACGACTATGGTGATAAGGTAAACAATTGTTTAATTGTTTCCTTCTGTGAAAGCATGTTTAGTCACAAATCGTGGATTTTCTGATATTATCCATACTACAAAAATGATTTTCCTACCACTGAAGGGGCGACATCTCTCGGATCTTCAGTATAGCTACTACTCAAATCATATAATTAATTGTAAGAGAACAGAATTTACAGTCCTTTGTGCTCGTACGTCGAATAATGGATCTATTTTCGTCGTATTTTTCTCGAAATTTCTTGAATGTTCAATTTGACGTGTAGTATATTAAATAAACAACTAGAACGGAGTAGGTACATAAAACATGTTTGTATTTTAAAATTATTTTTAATTTTATTCAAAATATTCTCATTATTCTAAAGATTTAACTTAACATTATTACATTATTAATTTTTTATGTGAAAGTGCCTTTAAAGATAACATAAACATTACAAATTTATGTTTGATGCAATCGTTTTTTTCTACTCTAAACACAATATTTAAGGAGAACTTAAGGTGCTACGGAAATTGGATATGTCGAATATTTTTGCGGAAAATTGGAAATTGATAAAAAAAAACAAGCAACTAAAAGTGTGCAAATATATAGGTGTTCACATATTTACACGCTTTTGGATATGATCTTATTGAAAATATTGCCGTGAAATCGTTCTAAAAACTAGTCGATAAGCAACAAATAGCCTACTTATTGCCGAATCTCTTCCGTAGCACCCGCACAATAAACGGCGTGGCGCCTAGAGTTATGCTAATTCTAACCGGTGCAAATACTTTATGGATTGCATATGCGATCACAAACGTGCTAGCTCCAGTGCCTGCCTTGCTAGCTAATGCTGAGTCACCCCATCCGAAGCGCTCCAATAAGGCTACCATGTCTATTCCGCTGAAATAATAGATGAAATAAACAAAAAATGATTTCAATATTGTCAGTTATGTTTTGCGTTAAACAATGATCACTACGACGGCTACCACCACGACACCCATAATAGATACACGTTGTCAGTTACAAACCTAGAAACCAAAAGATAGCAAGCACCTAAGGAAACGAGACTGATTCCAACGTGAAAAACAATCACGGTGGATCCGTACTCCTTAACTGCCTTTTTGAGTTGTTCTTTACGAGTCATGGGAGTTGCTGGTGATTCGCCTGTCGCTGTTGATGCCAGTTCCTCAGTCGTTTGTTTAGTATCTTTTGGAATTTCTTTTGCCAATGCAGTGTGGTTCAATGAAAACTTCCTAATGTTACCGTAATTACTAAATGCTACACTTTGCTGGGGCAATAATAAGTTAGTGCGTTCAAGCAAGCCTAATGTACTACCTTTCTGAGGCCTGTCCTCATAGTTGGACCAGTCCGAACGCACTTCCTTGCGCAGGTTGATGTAGTGAGACGAATGCAAATCTTGTGCTAGGAATTTGCCCTCCTGAGCCCAACCACCGCCGGGCATGTTCAGATGGGTAAACTTGTGCATTCCTCCGAATGGGCTCGGTACGTTGCTTTGCATAGCGGAATTTAGACTGACCGTACCGCGACAATCATACGATTGAACATGTGGATCTGCATTTGAGGAGTTGTCCACAGTGACGTCGATGTGGTTTGCCACGTAGGAAGACTGGTGCGTCAGAATGGCAGTTGAGTTGATATCTCGGGTACGTTGCGGCGAGAAACGCGTAGTTTCCGCTGGATCTATGTTTGCCGGCAGGGGTAGTGCTGCGGCCGCTGGATAGTCACGCTGGGCGGATACATGGAAGCTTTGGGTGCGCTTTGGCGATAGGTTAGCTGCGGAAATAAAAACAGATTGTGGAAATTAGCGAACCACTTCATACGATTTGGTTTACAGAATGATCATGTGTTAACTAATAGGTTCCTGGCACGAAGACTTTTTTTCTTGATTTGTTTTCCGTGCTGAGCACCAATGCTACCAACGACAGGGAGGCATCTCCAACACCTGGACCCTACCTATCGACCCATCAACTAATGAACCAGGGAACCAACGGCTTTACTTCCCTTCTAAAGGAAGGTGTGATCAGAGATGTTATGCCTCAGAACATCCCGGCGGCGCCGACTGGGATTGAACCCAGGCCTGCTGGGGCATGAAGGTAGGCATCATTTTATGAAATTCTGAGACCCTATGGTCCAAATATGTAAGATTATTAAAATAAAATCCCCATTTCAAAATTCTATGTGGATTAGGGAAAACATTAGAAATAGCATTGCATATTCGATAGTACAAATTGTGGGTGGCTATCTAACGGTCAACTAATATGTTTTGTAGAAAATATCTTATGTTCACGCAGAAAAAAAAAACACTTGTGATTAGTGATTTTCCCCCACACAAAAATAAAATCTACATAACAAGCATCGCATTATACACCTGGCCACATCCTTACAATCACAGTGAAAGGGAGTGAAAGGTAATCCAACATCTAAGGGGGAAAATACAAGCAAAAAAAAATTTTATCGGTTTTTTATATTTTACTTTAAAAAAATTCAAAAATTGCGACGAGCACGAGGAAGGAGTGATCTATGGCCCCCGTATCGCCGATTAACCGTAAGTTCCAGAAATCATGTTTTAACACAACCCAAAACTTTAAACGCGTTTTTCTCGAAACGGTGTTTTCTAAATTGGCGGGAAAGATCACTCAAAAAGTTCTCATCCAAATGACTTGACCTGGCGCATCTTAAAGAAAATAGATCAACTTTTTTTTCATATATTTTTTTCTAAATTTTTAAATCGTTTAAATCGTTTTTTTTGGGTTTTAGAGGTTCACATAGAACAAAAATCTTTTCTGAATAAGGTCCAATTGATAAAAGTAAGTTTTGTCAATTTTTCAGGTCTCTAGAACGCCCACCAATTACCAATCCCCACCGGAGGTGACCTCCTTCCGATGTGACCCCAAGGAGCCACAGAGGTCACAGACCAATGAAAAAAATCTCAAATGTAGAGGAAGATTTAAGCAGTTTAATGCAAAAAAAAACCCCAAACGTTTGCGTTGTTTCCGAAAATCGTCGAGTTTTTGACGTGTTACTTGTATTTCCCCGATTAAGAAGGTGCAGGGAACCTATACTACCTTCATAGATGTCACAGGAAGGAAAGATTTGTGTTAGTGGGAGGATGAAAACTCTATTCGTCAATGCTCTGATAAATCAGTAATAAAAATTGAATGTAAATAGATAAAAATCAAATATCTCACCCCAATGGCCTAGTGACTTTGCAGCGTCATGTTTTCGGAAATGCTTTATTTAATCACTGATAACGATATTCTAGCGTATCCCTTTTCAATAAATATTAGAAATTCCGGTACATAATTTGTTTCTTCGTGTATTTGGACTTACAAAAGCATTATTAACTATGAACGTTAGGAATTTTGGAACTTCGACCTTTTCGAGATCTACAAGAACGAGAAACATTTAAGATTTTTGAACTTGGATTTTTTGTAAATCTCATGTTAGTAACATAATTCTAGACTTTGACTATATGTTTAGTATTACTTCTGCGTTAAGTCAACGATTTACATAGTTGAAGATGCTAATTTCAAATAACAGACTAAAGTGGTAATTTTTATACGATAGAGGAAGAGATGAAAGTATAGAATTGATAGTTCCGTTTAGAGTACGGCAGTGTGAAAATTGCATATAGAAGTAGAAAGCGAGCTAGACAACTTTTAGGAAGGTACAAATCAGTTTTATCATCTCTCTTTACCAAACTCCCCCTTTGGAGAGGGATGGTGAGGAGTGTCCCCCCCCCCCCACTACCACTGGCAAAAAGAGATGATCACCGAACCACTCATGTACCACCGATGTGTTTGAAACAGTTCTACCGATTTTTACCGCACTCCAGTTGTTATCTGAAGGAAGGCATCCAGTCGTAAGTTTTGAAATTGCAGCTATTGTTACCTCTACCACGGTATGTGCTCCTGTCATCGTCGACTTGACGATCTCGAGGGGACACGGGTAGAGTAGGGGCTGCTACTAACTCTGGATGGGAGCATACCCCTCACCATCCCTCTCCAAAGGGGGAGTTTGGTAAAGAGAGATGATAAAACTGATTTGTACCTTCCTAAAAGTTGTCTAGCTCGCTTTCTACTTCTATATGCAATTTTCACACTGCCGTACTCTAAACGGAACTATCAATTCTATACTTTCATCTCCTCATCTATCGTATAAAAATTACCACTTTAGTTTAATCTGTTATTTGAAATTAGCATCTTCAACTATATAATTCTAGAACTTTGAAAAAATAAACAGAAAAACATGGGCATAGGTTCTGACCAAACATTTAATATAGAAAACAAAATTGAAGATTCCGATATTTTTTTTCAAGTCAGGTTTATGGGAAATTTTTAGGTTTTGGAATACGTTTACCTAGCTGTTTTTTTGTTTCAAGATCTCGGACTCGGATAATCGTCTCTTTATTTTGATCCTTTTTAATTATATATGCGTTATTATTATAGGTCTTCAATCTTTTGGAAAGCATGACCACACAGATTCTAAACTTGTTTTGGGATTTTTGGGACCGATTGGCGATTCTATTTGTATATTTTTAGAACAACAAAAGAAACAACAAAATGTAGATGGAACAGTATCAGACGATAGCAGCACCTTTACCTATCGGAATTCGAAGGATTCCCTAATCGTACTGGGATTTTTTTTGGACTCGTCAAACCTATTCATGGCGGCGTCATCAAGAGCACCAACAACAAAACCAGCACGGTAAAGACAATCAGGTAATTTCTAACTAATTTTACCTAAATTTTACTTATGCGAATTAACCACCTTAAGTTCCAGCTATCTATTAATCCACACAAACCCCCTCCCTTGTATCTTCCCTTACGGCTGCTAATTCGCTCATGTTGGATGGGGTCTTGGTTATACTGGCTCAACCTGTTTCACATTCGCGGATTACACAGAACTTATTTAACCTGTTGGTAAATGTAGTGATGTAGTGATGGTATAGCATGTACGAAGCCAAAAAGCATTCTACACAATCACAATCACAATACATAGTCAAATTAAAGAAAAAAGTAAGGCAAATCTCAAAACATGCATGGATGAATCACTATTTGTGAGAAAATGACGATAGGGGGTTTCACTACAAATGTTGGTTGAATTATTTAAATTTTAAGTTTTGGTGTTAAAGAAAGTAAAAATAGTACATAAATTTGTTTCTTTATGATTTCATTTGTTCATAATTATTAAATCCAACATGGTCATGCCCCTGCGGACTGTTTAAGTTTTATTCTTCTTGTGTATTATTAATTAAAAAAATATTTGGAAAGTAAATAATAAAAGAAATTTTTATTAAACTTTCAAAAAACATTTGCTACATCTGCAACATCACTCGAGTCTAAATGAAGAAAAATTTCGCAATATCAAACTTTCAAAAAACATTTGCTAACACCAAAATAAATCCAAATTTCTTAAAACTTGTTGACCCATCTAGCTGCAGCTTGTGACCCATTGATTAAGAAACACTCTAACCAGTTGCAGTCTGTGGCGAATCTGTTCAAAATTGATCGATTTACAACTTTACCGAAAACTGTTATACTCTCGAAGTTTAGGGCGCAATATACGTTTTACTGACAGAACCCCAAGGATGCACCGTGCGTGGTGTGCACTGAACAAGCACGCTTTTCGGCAACGGGACAGGCGTGTAGTGTCGTAGAAAGACACCCTAACATTGCTATTTAATTAAATAAAAAACTTCGTGCCAGGAAAGCTATGTACATCATGACTTCATGCTGGAACGGTGTTTCAATTGAATCAACTCTTTACTTACCATCTATCGATCCCATCGACATCGACCTTGTGGGGCCCGTGACCTTGAGGGCCGTTTTGAAAACCTGCTGCACTTGATGCGCCATTTCCGCTAACCGCAGGATAATTTAACACTCTTTCAGTATTCCCGTTCTTCAAGCTTACTTTCACTATTAGTGGCGTTGAAGTGTGAACTCTTTGTTTCGCTTCACTTTGTTTTGCTTGGTAGCGGTTGTAACAACTCCTAGTTGGATTTTCGCTGATGCTATGTAACTTAATGTTTGTTTATTTTCATTCACAATTTGTGCTTATCTTCTGCGAGTGGCTTCCGCAACTGTCGAGTGCTAAACAATGACTGAGGAACGAGGCAAGTTTCAGGGAATTTATCCAAACTGTTGGCTCTATCTGCCGTTGATGATGGTAATATGCAATCCGTTGGTTGTTAAAGGTGCCTTTGTATGCGACGTTCTCGTTGTAGGTGTGCTGCGACACAAAGGAATAGTATTGAGCAAATTGAAATAGGAATCAGTATAATCTTGAAAAAAAAGTTGAACATATTTAGATCATATGAATGCGACGTAATTATTCGTTAATTAGAAGGTATTTTGTATTTCTGAAAGACACAGTGTTTCATTATTATGAATTTAACACGTAGAACTTATCAAATAAGACATTCTGTACGGTACGTGACCATGTCGAAGTCACAGATAAAACAGGCCAGTATGATCACCAAAAAGTATGACCGGACAAAAGAGTGACAGTTTGGGAACGAACATGTCAGTAGGTAGATCGATTCCTTCTGCGTAATCTGCACAGACAAACCAATGTCTACGAACGATCATTAAAACAGCGGACGTATTCGCTAGAGTGGTTCTTTAATGATAGGTACAGGCACGCAAAACAAATGGCATGATCATCAAATGGAAGGGTGGATTTCTTAAGGCCGGCGCACAATGGATACGTTTTCAGGTTTTTTAACACTTAGTCCATGCATTATCTGTCAAAAAACCCAAAAACGTATGCATTGTGCGCCGGCCTTTACATCCTCTGCATGTTTTCTTACAACACATGTAGTGTCAGTTCTTACAATGGACTGTAGCGTACAAGCAAGTTTTTCTAGAATTAATATTTTCGTAGAAAACGTAGAAAGGGGAAATAGTTTTTGTTCGACGAATAAGCTAACATAATAATTACATAATTATGTATAAAATATTCCAACGACCACATTACAGATTCTGTTACTGCGGCGAATCATTACAAAGTCTGCAGGGTTTTTTTGTAAATCTTTAATATAAATTTACATTTCCCGGTTGAGTATGAACAACAAATATTTGACGCAAAATAAATCCATGGAGCTGTCAAAATAAACTGGCATCTACGTTCGTAACTGCCTACACGGAGAAAAAATACTACCCAAAATATGAGTTCTTTTTACTTAATATTGACTTCAGCCTCTCACTTGCACTCGTTATTGTTGTCAAAAAAGGAACGAGAGATTCGACCCAACGATATAGTTCAGCCCAATAAGTTACTTTTGAGTAAATTGCATATTCTCAAATTTACGTGAATTAAACTTAATTTTGGGTAGAATATACTTAAGAGTTGGTAATTTTTTTGCTGGTTTTAAATGGAAACTACTATATGCGATTTACTCAAATTTGGGTTATTGGGCTGAACCCCAGAATTGAGGGAAAAGTACTTAATTTTGGGTAGTTTTTCGTCTCCGTGTAGATAACAATAATTTGAAAGAGATTGCACAAAATTACAATTTTTGTGACCAGGTCATTGACAAAACAATGAATGAGTTTTTCACGAAGGTTTAATTGAGAGAGTCAATTCTTCCAGTGACTTTCAATGAAAGTGACTGTATTACGTAATGTATAGTATACTACGAACTTATTTAAGTTACCACCCTACCATTCGCATACCCACACGCATGGAAATATCATATGTCGGAACGGGTACAAAGATCATGCATGCGCTTAACGAACTCATGTGTTGGAGCAGTTAGGCTAAATTTAAACGGTCCTCTGGTAATACACTCGATGCTTAACGAACAATAATGGATAATAATTTTCTCTACAGAAGTCAAATATCAGCTGGCACCGGCGTGATCAATATTTTTGTTATTTGTTTTTTTAGATGCGTATGCCGGCCGGCCGGTGATGGAAAAGTTTGACGCTAAATTTATGTAAATAAGCCTAACTGGTCCGATCACGTTGAATAGCAGGAATCTTGCAATCGGGATAGCCACTACATTGTTGCATCCCTGCAATTTATGCATTTTCGTTCGGCGCAATAAAAATGGAGATTGTGTAGGTCAAGTCTGAGATTTTAACTAGCCGGTACCGGTGTAGAACCAGTGCCTATGCAAATACAGATGACTTGAGTAGTTGTAGTATAGAAAGTATTAGATATAGTGGTTGCACTAGTGACGCAATGAATCGCGCTATATGCAATATAAAACACGTGAGGAACCGGTGATTGCAGAAACCGGCCGGTTCCCTTTTTACACGTATCACCTTATAGTGGTGTGACTCAGATTATATCATTCATGAATAACAAAAGTAAAATTACTATCTTTGGTCAGCATTAAATGGTTGACCTACTTTGCAAATTGTTGCATTGTATAAATGCTGAATTGCGACAATTGTAACGGAGAATACGTTTGATAGTGATTCATAAATTCACTACCCTCATATCATATTGCAAAGGTGGTTCAATAATTTTCTATATTCTTGGCTATTACGTCTCAACTGAAATCAAATTTTGCGCATGCCTTCCACTGAGTGTTTTTTAAGCACTTCCAGTGATGTTAGATGAGTACAGGACCGATGCGTTGGATTTACAGTGCAAGCGAAAGTATTTAATGTAATTAATTAATTTTAAAGTTGTAATGAAAGTAATGAAAATTATGTTGCAACACTGAAAAATACCGTAAGTGGGGGAGACATTGGGCCAAAAAACCGACATTTTTCGTTCCCTACCTTACAATATTCACATTTTAGCTACACGCAAACCAAAAATCTATTACAATGAATGTTAGTTCCGTTTCCTATCATCCTCTGTTCATGAACATCGCAGCGAATGTTAGAAGTTGACCTTACAGGCGATGTAATGGTTTTTTGTCTTTTTCATTTCGTGTTCTATCTACGCTTTCGACTATACCAGTAAGCTTGTAGAACGACGCACATTGTAGAATATTGTAGAACGACGCACACACTTGCCTCGAATCTCTCCAGCAGAAAAAGCATACGAAGTCGAGTATGCGAGAAAATGAGCGCTTCATGTTTGCTTTTAGGCTATCCATATTCAGGAGCATGGAGAGAGCAGTGGAGAAAGCACAGGTCTGATAATTGAAGCGTTCTTGGTTCGAGTCCAGTCGGCAATCGGATTCCTTTTTTTTTCGACATAACTAATTTACCTCACTAATACACTCTACATTTTTCGGTCTCCAATTTTCTTGCATTGGACCGCAGCTAGGTATATCGCATCCTCTGTTCATGCGGTCTCCACTAACATCCTCTGATGATGAATCCCACATAATTGTAAGCGAATCTTACATCCCTCGGTTGGGTGTAGGAAAACAATTTTAAGCATGTGAATATATTCATCAATGATAAACGACTGCCATGGAAACGGTCGATTGAAATTGATATATCATTTTACTAAAATTAAATAAAAAATAGACCAATGTAAAACTTTATTTGGGGTTACATTGGGCCAAAACATAAATTTGGTTAAAATATGTAAATGTAACGTAGCTATTAAGGGGAAGCTTACCGGCCCGAAAATAAAAAAATATTTTCGGTACATTTTTATTTCTTTAAAAATATTGGGAAAAAATATCAAAAATCAAAGAAAATCAGTTTGTTCCTTAGATTTTTGTCAAAAATTACATGTAATTTTTTTTTTCCATCTCATCATGAAAAAAAAATTGGACTCTCAGCAAAACCGAAAAGTCGATGTTTTGTGGTTTTTTGAGTCAAACTTTATGCCATAAAGACTTATAAAAAATGTTTTTGCACGTGAATTTTCTTTAAAAAATAAAAAAATATGTGATTTTCTTAAAATTTTGATATCTTTTTCCAATATTTTTAGAAAAATCAAAACGTAATTATTTTTTTCGGAGCGGTGAGCTTCCCCTTAAGGGTACACTTGTTTTTGATTTAAATTTTTTTTCCGTCGATCTTGTTTTCCGTGCTGAGCACCAATGCTACCGATGCCAGGGAGGCAGTTCCCACACCTGGACCAAAAAAGACAAAAAAAAAAATGCTTCGGAAGCCCCGCCTCCAACAGGATTTCCCGCCTTTTCTCTGGATAAGGTAGGGTTTAGAAGTATTTTTTGTGTTTAGTATGCTTAAAATGAGGGACTTCGGATGTGAACAGAGATGTGAATCTAAATGCATATACAGTCAACTCTCTATTTCTCGATGTACTATATCTCGACATTCCTCCCTATCTCGATGGAAAAAATATATGTCGACGAAAAAATCTAGTTAATTAGGGGAATTTACGTATTCTCGGCAACCTAAGCAGCGACCTTCTTTCTATAGCCTTTTTCTCTATGGAACGCACACATATGCAGTATTGGTTTGTTTACAATCTTTTGCTTTCAGCTGCTCTAACAATTTCAGTCGAAAGAATTGTCAAAAACTGTTTTAAAACGCTTTTACAAAGCTCCAATCTTCTCTAGTGAGAGCGAGTATTGTCGGCAACCAGTTTTTCTTCGGCAACTGTTCCATTTGAACTGCATGTAAATCTGCTGTTCTATTATCGGCAACTCGAAATCAGCTACAATTTGTAGTGCGTGTGTTTCATTTCAAGAAAACCCTGCTAGATTGCTTTTTCTCAGTGGTAAAAATATAGTCAAATTGAAGCTGAAAGCATAAAGAATCGTTTGCATGCATTCAGCGAAGTGTTTTCGTAAGAAAATCCAGTGAAAATAGTGTTTCAATTTGGGTTGCCGAAAATAGTCTGTCAAGCCGAAGCCGTCATTTCCCCTACTTAGTTTTGTTTCTACGTTTGAAGTAAGCGATCGAGTTTTGCTTTGGCTACGAGATTAAAAAATCGGTGCCATCACAGACAAACAGACATAACACTCGCAAGTTGTTCATCGTACACGCATTTAACGGTAGAATTAAAAGTATCGTAGTTGGTAGTACCGCCACTTGTGGCGCGCATAGTCAATTTCCTTGCGTTTGACGTTTACACACTA